TGACCCACTACCAGACCCTCCTACTTACTCCCCCCAACACACATACACTTTGCCTTGTCAGTGGCTTAAAACCTGCTATCTTACTTCTTGACCCTAATCTGGATCAACTGATTCATGACTTCTCCCAGATACTTACCCAAGTACACGGGACATGACCTGTTTTGAGAGACCAACCAATGCCTGATGTAGAACTCACCTATATACTGATAGGAGCAGTTTCATTAGGGGGAAAAGGTATGTGGGCACAGCAGTGGTGATGGAGGAAGAGGAATTGGGCTGAAGTGTCCCCTCCAGGGTCATCAGCCAGAAAGCTGAATTGGTTGCCCTAAGGCCTTGCAACGAATAAGAACAAGAGGCTTGATGTATGTATGACAGCTGTTATGCATTTGCCATAACACACATACATGATGCTATATACCAAGAGTGGGGGCTCCTGACAGCTAAGGAAGAACTATCAAAAATAAACAGGAAATCCCGGACTTGTTAAAAGCCTTGTGGCTCCCAGCTAAGTTAGCAGTCATTCTTGGTCCGGGACACCTGAAAGTGGATTCCCCAGCCGATAGGGGAAATCAGTGTGCGGATAAGACCCCGAAGGTGGCAGCAGAATAAGCTGCCTTAGCACTAGACCTTAAGCTGCCAGACTTGGCCCTCGGGAGTTGACAGATGTGATGCGGAATACTTGGCCCTCATTTGTAGTCTACCCCAAGCCTGGCAACCCAGGTGGCTAGAGGAATGGTGGCTGCCTGGAAGTGGGAGGTTAATCCTGCCTGCGAAGATGGACATGTACTTATTGGGACATATCCACCGGACCACCCATTTAGGCCCCCAAAAGATTGAGGACTTATTCAGAAGATCCCATCTCAAGGTGTTTAGCCTTAGAGACAAGATAGAACTGGTAGCTTCTAAGTGCCTGGCTTGCTGGTTAATGAATGCTAAGCCTACTGGAGGGCAAACCTCCTATTCTTCCAAACATGCATTCTGACTTACTGAGTTTGGTGATGTCAATTTGAATACCTTTTCCATGCTGCAGCCTTGTTGTTCAAAGACACCAGGCCGAGGTTGGTTGGGTGTATGAGACGGCTCCGCCTCCTACTCTGCATCAGTTCCAAACAGGAGACTGGGTTTACATGAACACAGGACCCTAGAGCTTCGCTGGAAGGGACCTTATGTCACGATCCTGACCACTCCACTGCCATGAAAGTAGACTGCATTGCCGCATGGGTACATCACTCCCACACCTGCACGGCTGATCCAGAATCACCAGAGCCGTCCAGAGCCTGTCCAGACAGCACGAGCCACACGGAGTTGTAAAGCCTAACCCCAGCAACCCCTTGAGACTCAAACCTGCAGTCAGATCTCCCAGTGCTCTGCTCCTGTTTCTACTAACATGAAGCTGGGTTGCCAGTAGCTCACACCAACCCCGAAACCTTACATGGCAACTTTTGGGCACCCTGGAAACCCAGTTAAGCAGATTAGTAGGGTTTCCCCATTTGGAATATGGTTCCCCAATATAGTATTTGACCTGTGTGAGACAGTGGGTCCCCGTTGGTTAGATAGCAGTAAGGACCTCGGGTGCTCTAGGAGGAAAGCGGCTGCTCACCGTTTCCGAGGTCCCAGAGTGGGACAGACTGATGACTGAGTAGTGAGGGACTCGGAGGATTATTTTTGTGAAGAGTGGGGCTGAGTCCTCTGGGTATCTGGTGGGTACCTCTAGTAAAGACAGATCTTATCACCCTTCACCGAGAGCCAGGCATTGTCCTTGCTGACCCCAACATCCGATTTCCACGTAGTATCCCCCGTCCAGGGCCTACCCCTTACCTTTGTAACCCGGTAAGAATAGTTTCACAGACCAAAGGTAGATGGTAACAGGCTGGATACAGGGAAGATGTTAGGGATCAGGTGTATGAAAGAGTAGAAATAGGAACAGGAACCTTGTTCACGTTATGACTGATTGTAACAGTTCCTACCCTCTAGGAGGCAAAAAATCCCCCAAGAGATAGTCCAACAAGAAACTGGCCCAGCCTGCACCACCGCTATCCCCCACTGAAGCACCAGGTAGCCGCTCTACTACATCGCCTACTCTAACTTCTCTAGGGTGAGACCCCCATTTTAGGTTGCTCCTACCTTCTACCAGGCCTCCTACCAGGTCCTCAATGCTATTAGATCAGACCTCACCCAATCCTGTTGGTTGTGTCTTGATATGAAGCTCCCTTTCTATGAAGGGGTAGCTGTTAATGGATATTTCATAGACTCAGACCAACCCATGCTGTGTTGCTGGCAGCAGAAGGGGTAAGCCAGGCTTACATTACAGGCAGTTGAAGGATTTGGTTTTTCTTAGAGATTGTGGCTGACACCTACAGACCCCTATGCATCTGTACAGTCCAGGTACCTCCTCATAGATTTCTTTTACCTCCAAAAAATGGTTGGTGGGCATGCTCTTTTGGGCTTGCTCCATGCGTTTGTGAGCAGGTACTAAGTCAATATAAGGACTTCTATGTATTAGTCCACTTGGTCCCTTAGATAATTTACCATACAAACAGAAATTTCCCAGTAACTGCAGAGACCCGACTAAAAAGGGTCTTAAATTGGGCATTCTTCTAAGCCTCGGGCTAGCAGGTGCAGGGACTGGGATAGGCCACTGGCAGTCTAAGACATTATAATGACCTGTGATCGGCTATTGACTTGGACATACAAGGTTAGAGAGCTCCATACCTGTTGTAAGGAGAGGCCACTTGTTTGTTTCCTGGCTGCTCTGGCAGCTCAGACCCAAAATAATCACACAGAAACTATATTATTTAAAACACTGCTTGGCCCATTAGCTCTAGCTTCTTATTGGCTAGCTCTTAGATATTAATTTAACCCATTTCTATTAATCTGTGTATTGTCACATGGCTGTGGCTTACTGGATAAAGTTCTGTCTGGCTCTGGCAGGGCTACATAGCTTCTCTCCAACTCCTCCTCCTTTCTCCCAGCCTTCAGTTTAGTTTTCCCAGCCTACCTCTATTCCCTGCGCAGGCCCAAGACAGTTTTCTTTATTCAGTAATGGTAATTAAAGCATACAGAGGGGAATCACACATCAATAACCCGTTTATAAGAGTCCCTAACCTTCTTAGCCAAAGTAGTGCTGCAAAACAAGAGAGGGCTAGACCTTATATTCCTACTAGGTGGACTTTGCACATCATTGGAAGAAGAATGTGTTTTTATGTGGACCACTCAGGGGTGGTGAAAGATTTGCTAACTGAAGATAGGGAGGGATTAGCCAAAAGGAAAGGGACCGTGGACAAGCTCAAGGCTGGCTCACATACTTATTCAATACCTCCCTATGGCAAACAACCTTAATCACTGCATTGCTAGGGCCCTGCTCATCTTAATGTTTGTAGTTTCTTTTGGGCCCTGTATCCTTAATAAGTTGCTGACTTTCATTATGGGGAGGGTCAGTACAGTACAGTTGATGGTGCTACAGTCTCAGTATACTCTCTCAGAGCCATGATTGAGTCCTCTAGTTTCTTTTAGATGGGGGACGAGAGTCCTAGGCCCCAGAAAATCTCTGATCTGCAGCCCACACACAGACCCCAAATGGCTAGGCTCCAAGCCCCAACTTGGGAAGAAACACAATCTGAAAATGGATCCAGAGTCAGGGGAAGAGACACTTAGTCCCCAATCTTAGAGCTGGAGAAAAGTCCCTGAACCCTGAAACTAGGACCAAAAGAATGCACTAAGTCCCTAGATTCAGGCCATAACAAAGATACTCGCCTTGGCCCCAAGATGAGGGTTAAAAAGGTAGAAAGAACCAGAAAAAGAAACACAGTTTGGCCCCAGAAATGGATCCATTTCTACCCCTGACTCAAAACCAACCAATCCCTGAACAGAGAAAACAGACCAGTCAGGGCCTCAGGCAGTTACTGGCAGTTGGGAATTCCTCTCAGGCCTGGAAAGCCCCCTTACATCATCAGAGGGCAGCCAATCTCAAGCCTGGAACTGTGGAATTCCCACTTCTACCACTAGGGGACAGCCAATCACAAGCCCCCTGTGCTGTTTCCATTGCTGTTGCTGTCCTGAGTTAACTCGTGAATAAAGAGTCAGTGTTTTTGCATCGGAGTTGGTCTCATGGTGATTTGGGTTCCAGAATTTGGGCTTAACATACCTATGATGGCCATAACTTGTAGCAGATGTGTGATTACCAAATCAGCCTTTTCAGAACTCAAAGCAGTTGCCCCTTGTAAACCTGAATAGGTATCAGTGGTGTGATGTACATATTTTAGTTTTCCAAATTCTGCAAAATGGAACACATCCATTTGCCAGGTTTAATTTCTTTGAATACCCTTTGGGTCACTTCCTGCAGGTAGTGTGGTTAGGTTGTATAAAGAACACGTGGGACATTTCCTTACAATTTCCTTGGCTTGTTGCCATGTGATAGAAAAGTCTTTTTTTTAAACCTTTGCTATTGACATGATATTTTTAATGAAAGTCTAAGACCTCCAGCACATTTCCAAACAATAATTGATCAGTTTCTCCATTACCTTGTGCTAGAGAACATGGCAGACCAATATGGGATTGGATGTGTGCTACATATATGTGATGATTCCTATTCCTGATTTTATTTTGTAACTGAATAAATAATAAAGTCAATTCTTAAGCATCTGGTATTAGTTCAGCAGTTTCAATATGCAAAACAACTCTTTCTGCAAATTGGTAACTATATTGAGAGGATCTTTAAAATCCCTTAGTAACATGAGAAAAGCATATAATTCTGACTTTTGAACAGAATCATAAGGATTTTGTTCTACTTAAATTTTCTGATCTGTAACCTGCCTTTCCTGATTTATTTCATCAGTATAGAATGTAGGGGTTCCAATTATTGGTGTAAGGAAAGATCCAGCTAATTATCTTTATAAGTTGAATTCTCTTGCTTCAGGGATATTTGTTAATCACTCCCCCAAAATACCATAAACTCTTTGCCAGGGTTCTCTTTCTTCCCATAATTTGTCAGTTTCATCATTATTAAAAGGTCCTATAATTTCTACTAGATCTATTCCTGCTAATTGACCAAGTCTCAATTTTCTTTTTAGAATTAACTCAGAGACCTTTTCCACATAAGTTTTTAATAATTTACTCAGTTTATGTGATAAAAAGATCCATTCTAAAGATAATATCTTCCCTCTGCATTAGACTTTCTGTAGGGGAATGTTTGGAGGGTAATATGACCAGAATGCAGTTGGGGATCATGGGGATCCGAATTTTATGTGCCTTCTGTAATTTCTCTTCTACCAGAGCCAATTCTTTTTCAACTTCAGCTGATCATTGGCTATTTAAGTCCTTGTCACCATCTAAGAGTTTGTGTAAATTAATAAGTTGGTCAGGTTTTATCCTGACTGTAGCTGGGAAATGTCTCCCAGCGAGCTCTGAAGTCATCAAGAATCTGCAGTCCATCTCTTTTACTTTGCTCCTTTTGGGGTCTAATTTTTTGTAAACCTATTTTATAGCCTAAATCATTAATTGACTCTCCTTGTATTTTCCAGGAGCAATTTGTAATCTGCAACAAGGCAAAACTTTCTTCAAAGTCTTTCTAAAGTATCTACATTTGAATCCGATAGTAAAGTGTCATCCATGTAATGGCAAACTATAGATTGAGGAAATTGCTTGCTTATCAGTTCCAACAGCTGCTATACAGCCATACAGGTTTGTGTGTCAACCATTTTAAAGGTGGGGCTGTTGGTGCCTTTGAAATATCAGCAGCTGTTGTGCCCTGGTACAATCTGAGTGGTGGGTGACTATTCTTTATAATATCTTATAATATTTTTCTCAAACATATTTTAATTTAAGGTTTGTTTCTAAGATTGAGGGAATATTAATCTGAGTATTCCATTGCTGTAACAAATCACATCCCACAAATTCATTGCTATGTTAGCCACATAAGGTTTTAATTTTCCTTTCTGTCCTTCTGGCCCTATACATTTGACCTATCTCACTCTCTGCTTTATCTGCGATAAAGTTCCGATCCTAGAAGCTGAACATTTATGTATTGAAGAGACCACTTTGTATGCCAAGACTCTGATAAAATTATTGTCACATCCGCACCTGTGTCTATCAGACCTTCAATGGTAATGTCATTTGTTCATATTTTAAATTTTGGTCTTTGTTCATTTATAGAAGTTTGCTAAAATACTTGCTTTATGTTTTCTCCTAAATTTTTTTGTTCTCTCTTCTGTAGCTGTTCTGTTACCCAGAGCAGCAGTATGGCTTCTTACACTAGGCATTAGGTTCTTTAATTGATCTGGTTAGTTTTCTCTATGATGGCAGGAAATGGCTGAATCAGATTTGGCATAGGTTCTGCAAGAGGCCCATCATGGAGTTTCCAATGGCAAAAGGTTAACTTGAATATCTTTTGATCTACATTCATTAGTCCAGTGCCTGTGCTTGCCACGCCTTCTGCATAATCCAGAAGGGAGGAGTGTTCTGTTTGGATTATGCTTAGAAAAAAATTGTTTCTAGGAAAGCCCTGTCTACAGTCCCTTTTAAGGCATCTATAATTCTGTTTTTTCCATCCTAGAACTTAATAAATGGAGTCATACGCCTGTTCTTTCATTAGCACAGTTGCACCATGCTGTTGCACTCTGTCCTTCCTTCCATGTACACAGTGCTTTGCCTGCACGTATGCCTGGAAGCCAGAAGAGGGCACCAGATCTCATTTTAGAAGGGTTCTGAGCTATCATATATTGGAAATTGAACTCAGGACCTCTGGAGGAGCAGCCAGTGCTCTTAACCTCTGAGCCATCTCTCCAGCACACCCTCTCTTCTTTCTTATTGCTGGTTGATGTCCTGGTGTGTGGATGCCTCATGGTTTAGATTTTCATTTTTGGCTACCATGAATAAAGATGTCATAAATATTTTATATATCCACAAGGAAGGTCTTTTTTTTTGGAACATACAGAGTCATGTCTTTATTCCTGAGAGTGCAATTTGAAGATCATAGGATAGGTAACAAGTTTTAACTTTAGGGTATATAAAAAAGGATCTGTACAGATAGGGATCAGTTTGTGCTAAATGTGATAGCCGGTCTCTAATCTTAACACTTGCTAAGCCAAGACAAGCTGCAAGTTCAAGGCCAGCTCTCAAAAAGCCAAGAAAGAATACTAGAGAGATGGTTCAGTATTTAATAACACTGACTGCTCTTCCAGATGACCCTGGTTTGGTTTCCAGCCCCTATGTAAGTTCAGTTCCAGGGAATCTGATACCTTCTTCTGGCCTCTAGGGCCATGCATGAAATGGTATACAGACATACATGCAAATAAGACACCCATACATATAAAAAAATTAATTTAAAAAGCCAAGAAAAAAATGATACATAGTTTTTGGCCAGAAAAAAAGACTATAAATTGAAATATTCAGTATGGTTGCATTTATATAAAATTGGAAAGCATATGAGACAAATGTTACACCTTCATAGCTATGTACGTCTGAGGTAACATGTTTGTAAAAATAAGTCACTGATGTCAGGACAGCGGAACCTCCAACAGGGGTGACACGTGGAACTAGAGGGGCTCATGATAGTCTCCATCTAAACTAGTAAAATTGCATTTCTTTAAAGGCATTAGAAGCAATTATAATAAATGTCAAGATTTGATAACAGTGGATGCATATTCCACGACAGGTGTTCAGCTCTGAGCTTTGTGAATTTCTGCTTGCTGATTTAGCTCCCAAGGATCTCCTGAACTGCTGAGTACCACTTCAGCCTAGGAGATGAGGCCCAGCCTTGTCCTCTCTAGGCCACCATCTTGTGTGAACAGCTCCTTGGGGGCTGGGACACCTCTGACCTGCTCCTAGCTGCTGCCTGCATCCTGGTCTGTTTCCTTCCATTATTTTAGGTCTTTTTCTCTGACGACTCAGTATTTCATTTGTGTGTTTCCCATTTACCCATCTTCTCTGTCATTTCCTATCTAATTAGTTTTCAAACTTTCCCATCCTTCACATCTTTCACAGATGGTCCTTAAAATGCTACCATGGGTTACTGCTTTTTTGTTTGTTTTGTTTTTTAATTGGTTTTTCAGCTCTGAAGTGTGTTTTTTTCCCTTTTCCTTTCTGAACTTCCAGTTTCTGGTTCAAGTACCTCCTATAGCTTCTGGCCTCTGGCCAGCCCTTCCTGCTTTTCATTGCTTCTGCTTTATCATCTTCCTGCATAGCTGTTGCCTCATTACACTTTTAAAATTATCTTCTACCCATGGTGATGTTTTCCTAGTGAGTTTTCTTCCTGGGACAAGTTTGTTTTCTGGCAGTATCTTGCATAAACACTTTTTATGCTACCTTTGATTGGATGTTGAGTGACACCTTTGTCTGGGTTAAGGTTTTTGTTTTGCTGTGAAGAGGCACCATGACCACAGCAGCTCTTATTCAGAGGTTCAGTTCATTGCCATCATGGTGGGACATGCCTGCATGCAAGCGGACATGATACTGGAGAAGTAACTGGGAGTCCTATAATGTGCAGGCAACAGGAAATGGTCTGGGACACTGGTCATGGCTTGATCATATATGAGACCTCAAAACCCACCCCCACAGTGACACACTTCCTTCAGCAAGGCCACACCTTGTAGTAGTGCCACTCCCTGTGAGCTTATGGGGGCCAATTACATTCACACTACCGCAGCCTTTTATCTTTATTTTGAGGTGCATTGTAGTCAAACCAACAGCAAAACAATCCTGTCATGGAGTGGGTAATGGAAGTACCTTCCTCCTACCTCTTCCTCCTAACTCGCCAAAAAGACCAGATGCATTAGCCACCGCCTTGACAAGAGTGATACTGGAGGAACAGCCTTCTGAGTCTTCCCACCGCCTAGAGCTAGCCGAGAGCCTGCTGTTGGGGGTCAGTGTCACGGGATGTGTACCTGCGGGGACAGTCCACCTGCTATTCTGAAGTGCATGCCGTGACAAAGCAGCGGGTAACACCAACAGTTTTGCTGTCTGTTTTGTCGTGTGCCGCTGAGAACACCCTGGCAGATGCTCCTCCCTCGTTCTCACATGGCCCCCTGCTTTGTTTGTGAACACGGTGACACTTTTTTTTTGCATCTCTCACTGAAAGCACATCACCACTTATGGCTGGTATCCTAACACTGTTTCTGGCCAGCACTGGGCAGGGAAACACGGTGCATTCCTGTAAACCTTAGCATTTGGAAGGCAAAGCCGAGAAGAATGCTGCAAGTTCCACGCCCACCTGGTCTGCATGCTAAGTTTCAAGCCAGCCAGGTTTACATAGATGATAGCTATTCTTGGTTGTCAGCTTGACCGTATCTAGAATGAACCATAATTCAGAAATGGGGTGCACACTTGTGATCCAGATCTTAAGGCAAGAAGGCAGCATACCTTTGGTCTGCATCTTAAGGCTGGATAACGTACGCCTTTAGTCCAGACTTAAGGCGGGAAGGCAGATCTGGGCCCACACCTTCTGCCCAGAGTCTCTGTAAGGACAAGGAAAGAAGCAAGTGGGTATGTTCCTTTGCTCACTTGCCCTCACTTTCTCAGCACATCCACCCCTGCACCGACATTGGAGCCTACTTGTTGTGGAATATTAATTTAAGATGTGTTACATTCATCTATGCTCTGGAACATTTGTTTAATGATGCAAAAGATGTGTGCTACATTTGTTTGATTAAATAAAATTAACCTGGGGTCAGGAGATTGAGTCAGCAACAAGCTGACAGGAAGTGGGGGGGAAGCCATGTGTAGCTAGGGTTCTTAAGTGGGGGCTGAGCAGAAGGATGCCCTGTTTGTGGGGAGATGTGAGCTAGGAGAGAAGGTAAGCTGCTTGCTCCTCAGTCTCTCTGAGCAGAATTTCACCTCAACCTTTGAATCCTGAGTTCTACAGAGGGACAGAGATCTGGGTAAAGTTACCTTTAGCTGCCTGTACTGTGGATTTGAGGCCAGCATAGTGAGCTCCCTGCCTGCCACGCAGACTATGTAGTGAGACTGTCTCAAAAGATAAAACAACAAACAAAATAATAAAAAAATTCAGCTAAAGGTATTCTCCCACTTTCCAAGTTATTCCCAAATCCTTGCTAAAGCCTTTCCTGTCGTGGGCATGCTTTATAGTATCTCGCATAGACCAGCCTCACAGCCACTGCCTGCTGTGCTCTAGTAGACTCCAACTACACATGGCTCGGGAATGGTGATGGTTTACTGCAGAGTAGAGTTCTGAGAGAATGACTGACATGCTCAGAAGGCTGTTTTCTACTTTCTGTCTTTTGATGTTTGCCAGTTGCTTCCCTTCAGTCCTGTCTGTAAAGGGGGCGCTATATATACCTCAAGGCCCTAGATCAGGGAAGCAGAAGCGATAGCACATTGGAAAACTTCCCTGAAGGCCTCTGTATTTTTCTCACCACATATGCAATTAATTGGAGTATTAACACATTCAAAACTCATGAGCTTTGCTGCTGGTGTGTGCTTTCCCAACGTTCTTGTCTTGACCTTGGCCCTCAAGAGGTGAATTAGTGTTCAGGAAAAAAAATCAGGAGATAATCTGTTTCCCTTGAATCCTTATAGCCAGAGTAAGAATAATCTCTCCCTTTTCCCCTCAGGACCTGTTTTCCCAGTACTGTCACTTACAGTAACCCAGCTGAGAAGTAAGGAGGAAAGAATCGGGCATCTGCCAAAACAGTTGTCTAGTCCAGCTTCTACAGCTCACTTCCTCCTGTTTCAGAAACCTGAAGATGACTTTCCAACTTCCGTCATTAGCAAGGATGCAACAGCAGGCAGCCAGAGAGCAGAAGTGATAGTCTGGACTGGGCTCAGAAGTGCCTAGGAGCCTGGCACGGAGAACTCTGGAAGCCTGATGTTCGTTGTGAATCACTGTTCATTACAGTGACGCTGCTGCCTCACTTTGACCTTGTAAAGATCCCTGATTACAGTAGACACCATCCAAAAGTATTCCCCACCACGCATGGTCTTTCTGTTTCGTTGCTTAAAAAATAAGAGGTAGGTGTGTGCATGTGTTCATTCACGAACACAATGATTTGGGTACCACAAGAGAAAAGCACAGTGACTGTCTACAGTTAGAAATCTGCATAACCGGGCTGGAGAGATGGTTTAGTGGTTAAGAGCACTGGCTGCTCTTCCAGAGGTCCTGAGTTCAATTCCTAGCAACCACATGATGGCTCACAACCATCCGTAATAAGATCTGATGCCCTCTTCTGGCCTGCAGGTGTACATGCAGGTAGAATCCTGTATATATGCATAATATATATTTATAATAAATAAATCTTAAAAGGAAAAAAGAAATCTGCTTAACCAGTGTGTGCTCAGTTTTCTGTTTGCTTATTATGATTCTTGGGAGTTGGAATTAGGGCCTCTAGTATGGTAGGGAAGCATTCTACCACTGAGCTGTCTCCCCAGCCATCCTTTTTGGTGGGGAGGTGGATTCATGCATTTAATTAGAATAAGTAGTCTAGCCACACAGTAGAATAAACTTGGTGGTCATCGGCATCTATCACTTCTAGGAAACAGTTGTGCGTGTAAAGTGAAGATATAACGGTTTCTTCATATGCACACCCATAACACACTCCTAGTTGACTGGATAATGTATTTCTAGTGAGTAAACTATTAGTGACAGATGTGTTAAGAATGTATCACACACATAAAAATAATGTATGAGATCGTCTGTTCTCTGAGAAAGAGCTAGAACAGTGGCAGAGGGAAGGCTGGTACCTTTCAGGCACTCCTAGCACGGCCCTCTTGACTTGTTGATACAGGGTCTCACTAAGTTGCCCAGGCTAGCCTTAAACTCACTCTTAGCCAAGCAGATCTGGAATTTGGAATCCTGCTTTAACCTCTAAAGTAGCTTGGATTTCCGACCTGTGCCAGCACACCTGGCTGCTCTCTGAGGAACTTGAGCGTGCAGCAATGCTCCTGCCTTAGCAGTTCTTGAGCATTGAGATCACAGGTAGAGTGTTTCCAGTGCATATTAAACAGCTTTGTGCACAAGCAGTGCTAGACGCAAGTGTTCTAAGTTGTGTTTACTTTCAAGAGTTATGACCACGAAGATAAAAGAATCCAACACATGTTAAGTTAAAGGACATTTTATTTACTGACAGATTAAAACACCGTAACTCCCAGCAGTGCAAAATGCACTACTGAAGCCATTACCAAGAACTGGTGTTACACACAATGTTTCGGCAATGCTACACGTGTTTTTGGCAAAGTGCTGTGCTGTCCATTCTGTATAAAACTGACCATCTGTGACCCAAATAGTATAAAATGTATAAAAACAGAAACACAGATAGTGGCTCAAGAAAACAAGCTGCCATTTATGCATAGATTGATGTACAGTATATAAACCTAACCAAAATGTCCCTTTTCAGTTTAAGTTGATGAGAGAAACTGTGCCCATAAACACATCACAAAGGCACACAACACAACCTGAAATGTTTCTCCATATCCACAGCTCACACCCTGCCTTCAGAAGGCCAGTGTGTGGGCAAAGAAAGAAAGAAAGCCACTTCTTAAAATAACACACGATTATTGACTAAACTTCAAAACAAAACCACACACACACACACACCTGAGACCCCAAATGCACACGTCTAACCTCCCCAAGCACTGTTTGGTTTTTACAAGTCCGCCTAGAAAACAATACTACACAGGCAGGAAAGAACAGAGCCAAACTGGTCATTTAACAGAGACACCTTTCAATATCACAAGGAAACTTAGCAGTGACACACAGAACATCATCCGCATAAGCTGCTTCCTCTGAACATTAACTTCTCTCCCACATGAAGGGGACCGTTGCCCGCAAGAGAAGACCCTCTTCCTGGAGCATCTGTGCACCTAAGCTGTTTGGGTTGGTGTCACATTTCAAGAGAAACTGGCCCATAACACAGGAAACAACACTGTCGTATATACAGATTTGCTAAATAGACCAGCATTCATGTAAAATTTCAACATTATAATAAGTAGGTAGGGTTGCCATGTATAATGCATCAGAGGCTGATGGCATGGAACTACCTAACTTAAGAATTTAAAACTAATAGTATCTATAGGCCTCATAAAATAAAAAGGATAACTTCAAGGCAACAACAGAAACATAGAGTAGTATCTCCCAGTACAAGGAGCAGTCTCTTAACTGTCTCTAAAATAGAAAGAAAAAGAAACTTTCCCCACTAATCTATTTAAATGCATTTAAATGTCCATCTACTTATAGTCCTTTGTACTCCATATTAAAAAAAATGAGAATAGAGGCAATACCCTCCCTTGCTCTTGTTGTTTGTCTCAATAGTTTACAAAGACTGCTTCTGTGAGAGTGAAGCAAACTAGCAAAGCAACTCAGATCTCAACACAAGTGAAGACTAAACAAGTACAGATCTAGGAAGCACGAATGGCAGCAGGTTCTGAGCCCTGGCAAGTTCTCAGTAAAGTCTCTCGACAGAACCAAAGACCTGACAGGACAGCAGCCATCTGCGTGGGAACTGGAGAAATAGACACAAAGTTAACGGGAAGTAAAACTCTAATCTTGCATCTCTGTAGCTACTCAACCACACAAACACAAATATCCACAAGATAAATATGGCAAGCTAAGTGTCTACATATAGGCAGAATATAACTCAGGAAATAGTGATTAACAGAGTACACACTCTAAAATGTTTAATGCAAAACATTTGAGGAACGTGGGGTCTACTGTAAAAATTAAAAAGCATACTCCAAATGGATGGCTGATTCATACTGTATTCCAGACTTTCCAAGCAATGTTCTAGGCTATCGGTTTAGAAGTGGTCAGAGCTCCTAAAGGAGTCTTACTCCTGTTTTGTTTATACTGCTGGGGACAGCATTCAGGACCTTGCACAAGGTCCTTGCAAGTGCTCTCCCACCAAGCCACATCCCCACCCCTTGGGGTCTTACTACTGCCTGTACTTTTAATATACTGAAGTACATTGTAAACCATCAGTGGTTATTACAGCAAAATGATGATGCTAATCAGTGGCTAATCAACTTAGAAAATGCATTTTGGTCATGTTTCAAAAAAACATTTAACAGGTTAGCACTGCTCTGTGTTATTAGACTTGGGTCTTATACACAGCAGTTGCATAACAAAACACCTAATGACCAAGAACTTCAATTTTCCTTCAGTTCTTACATGTGCCAATTTTAGCCATAATCTTTACATTCTCACACAAGAACCAGTGTGCTACCTACTGTAGGTGCTGTGGTAATCTCAACCCTAAAGAAAAAAGTCCCAGTAATTTATCTGTTTGCTGGTTTTCAGGAACGAGGCAAAAGCACTAGGGACATACAAGGCAAATTAAAAATCGGTAACTGAAAGATGTAAATGTTCTTAAGGAATGAACAAATCTGGGGGAAAGTTGTCTTAAAAACCGAAAACTACCGCAGTTTAATACACAGATCAGTTCATGCTGGCCAAACAAATTCTCATGGCTGAACTTCCAGCTTGTGACATCAGAGGGTAGGAAAGGCTTACGTACATTTAGAAGCTTGTGTCCAGAAGACACATAGCTGGTCTATTTTCAAGTCACTGGCATGACCTGTAACAAACGCGGCGTAAAACATGCACACCTCCATAAAAACACAAATAGTAACAAATACCTTCTCACTTTGACAAACTGCAGACTTGGCCCCTAATTACAAAAAATAAAGGGGACGTCATTATGGACAGGGCCTAAGGATGGGGAGTCTAGATTCCTGTTCTGAGAGAGACATCCGGGCACCATCACAGCCAGTGTAAGGAACACCCTTCACTGTCTGACTGCAGCTCTAGAAGCGAGGCTTGCAGAGGAGAGCACAGCTCTTCCCCAAGTTCCCCAAAGTTCCCTGCATCAGTCTGCTACAGGGTAACGCTTCACATAACAGTGTGTTGCTGCTTCCTTGAAATAACTCATTAACAAGTATTTAATTAGGGCTGCAGAGGAGACAGTGAGGGAGCTGCTGGATTATACAGGGAATGAGATTCTCAGTAGAATGCGCTTTACACTGTAAATGGGTTTAATTTTCCAGAAAGTTGGTTACAAGTGTGGATGGCTCATTAAAATCTATCAAAACCGCTTTTAAAAAGAAGTGACCAGTTAGAGGTAAGAAAATGAACTTTTCTCTACATCAAGTTAACTGGCCTATGTGAGTGGAACCCTGCATGCTGGCCTCATTAGCACCAACCCTGAAGAATCATGGCAGAAAACGTGCCGCAGTCTTCCACCACTAGGTTCAGTAGAGAGGCCCTGGAAGTTCACACCAAGTTCAGTCCTGACAGCTCCACTTCCAATTAAATGTAAGCCTCACAATGCTGTGAGGGAGGTAAGAATTATTGCTCCTGCTGCGGAGGAAACAGAGGCCAAAGTGGTTAAAGATTTTGTGAAGTTAAAAACTGAAGAAAGCTCAAGAAAACCAACCCATCAATATTCACTGGGGTGCCGTAAACATACGCCACCAGATCTCCCCATGCTCTCCCCTTGGGAGGACAGGCTCCATGGCTGAGGAGTTACCACTGTCACCTTGTCCTTTCTTAAGGGCAGACAAGAGCATGAAGTCACCAAGTGCCTGGGCAAGCACTTGTGCATTTCCAGCTGGGCTCCTGACGCCTCCAAATACTGACTGCTCTGTGGGTTACACCCATATCAGCTCACAGGTCTGATTTTTCCCTTTGCATATGAGACAAGTGCTTTTGTCCATGACAGATTGTACTGTCTGTACCATATTGCGGAGTCACATCGGGATCATTGAATGCATTGTTCAGAGTTAATGTACCTGAATTCCACAATAAACTGCAATGACCAATCTGGGAAAAAAAGAACCACACATACAGAATATGTCAAGTTTTCTTTCAGAAGTAAGTTCAGCCATTAGTTCCATTATATCCATGGCAAAAATCACCTGTTAGTGCTCCTGCCAGTGTGTAAAAACATACTCACTGTATACAGAAAGGACTATCAAGTACTGGTCAATAAAGTATATGGCTGACCCTGAGAATAAATTTTTGCTTGCACAAAAGATTAAATAATACAAAATAAATGAAGTTGATAAGATGCTGGCTAACTCATATATACCTTACTGTATTTAAAGACCATCCCAATACTGCAACTGTATTGATATGTTTCCAAAAATATTCTGAAAAGTTTTTTTTTTTTTTTAAGAAACTGTCAGGAGCAAGGCATTATGTGATAAACAGCACAAAAATCTGGTTGTGATAGTGTCTAGACACTGACACACTAGGCGATTGGTCTTCAGTTGACTAGAAGGAGAAACATTTCATTGTATGCACGCATCCACATACATAGGCACAAACCCCAGGAAACCAGCCAGGACTCAGCGTCCTCAGTAATTGTACTGGCGTGGGCAGGGTTGGTGAACTACCCAGCCACCGTGCTTCATTTGTCGAGTGTGGCAATCCCTGGTAAGATTTTGGCGACGAAGGCCATTTCTGTTCAGAGACTGTCTTTCACTGTGTCCCTTTATCCACTGAGAAGGGCGGAAGCTCTTAGGTTGTTCCAGAAACGTTGCCTGAGCGGCGAGGGCAGTGACACAGCAGTGAATGTGTTCCCCCATGTCACTTTGGGCTCCCATCCTGAAACAGACCAGAGTGGGGTGTCAACCACAGACTATGGAAACTGCTTACTGAGGGGTCAGTTCTACATTTGTTTGTCCTGGTGATAGACAGGCTTATATTCTGGGCCTGTATCTGCTGATAGTGTTAAAGGGAGAAACCAACTATTTTGTTTTTGAAGTGGTGTCTTGTTATTGAGCCCAGGCCCTCTAATTCACCATGCTCCTGCTTCAGCCTCCCAGGTTTTGGAATTACAAATGTGTCATAACTCCCAGGTGAAAAAGAACTTTTAATAGGAATGTAGCATATAATTCAGAGATGGCCAAATGTGCTTCATACTCGGAATGAATTTAATATGGTTCTCCAGGAGGAGAACTGATGTCTACTGAGCATCTGCAGTTCTGTCTGTTTAAGACAGAATCACATGCAGCTCAGGATGGCCTTAAATTTGTCATGTAGGCAACCCTGGCTTTGAATTACTGATCTTCCTACCTCAGCTTCCCAAGTGCTGGAATTACAGTGTGAGCCACCACACCCAGCTTTTAGCTGTTTTAAAGATATCTATTTCAGCTTTACTATAATATTAAAAATAAAATACTTTAATTCTCAAATTTGACTGATGAAAAAACATTTACATCAACAGCACCTTCCCAGATGATTTCTGGCTACAAGTAAAATGGCCTAGGTAGCATATGAATCTGTATTTCATAGAGATGTATAAATAACATTCCTCTAACATGACATCCCCTAGGTAAAAGATCAGTGCCTATTACACACATCAGTTTTTTATTTATACCACACGAGGGCATATTTTGGAATGGCAATTACATCAGTGTTTCAAGACCCTTATAAAAACACATATATTAGAACATGGTTGTATATAGTATGTATTTTCTATACTAAAAGCCAATCAAGTCAAATTAGTTAAACTATATTAACACATAACAAAGTTTTAATATTTTTGCAGTGCTGTGTGTTGATCTCGGGCCTCTTGTACAGACAGTGAGTGCTTGACAGGCCCGCTACAGTCCCAGCACAGCTGTGAGGGTTCAGATGAGGTGTCTAGCTCAGGATAGTTTCAAGGAAAAACAAACAGAAGCTAAAATAAACTCAGTTTTTTTTTTTTTTTTTTTAGAAGGCAGGCATTTGGGTTCCTCATCTCCCTGCTCAGACTGATAATACAGATCAGATCATACCGTCTCAAAGTGAACATACTTACTCTGTGCCCATGAGTCTTATAAGCAGCTTTTCCTGGCCCTACAAATGTTAAATGGTCAACTATTAAATCACTAGTAAGATTTAAAATGCCATTTTAATTTTACTACCAGGACACGGTCATTTTTTTTTATTAAGATTGATTTACTATGGGCAATTGAAGACATATTACTGAAAATTATGGTTGCTCATAAACCTTCACAAACAATATATATAAAGGCTAAGATGCAATAAAATGTACACTCTAAAGCCATTATAAGTACTCAGCTTCATACTCATGCGGTTTATAGTAATATCCCTGAGGACACACAGAATGAAAGTAGTATGTTTGAAAAACATGATTTATTGCTTGCTCGGAAAGCACAGACTGTTTACTACATAAATAATCTTGCCATTTTGATAACACCTGGTTCTTCCTTTATTTAGAAATACACATACACACACATCCTTTTTCAGACAGGAATCTCACTATGTATTCCAAGTTATCCTTAAACTAGTGAACCTCCTGCCTCACCCTCGTAAATGCTATAAGCATGTATTACCACGATAATTCATTTGTGAAGAGTATCTGTTGATCCTACATATCAATACATATGATACAGGCATGCAAATCCAGCCTCTTGGGGCATAAGGTAGCAAACAATTAACCCTAAATACAGTGCTCAGATGCTGGTTTGGATAAAGTTGAAATACTCTAGAGCTAGGCTCTTAAGAGGAAAATTAACGTATGATTTGGTAAGAAGATAAAGTGAAAATTTGCTGAAATATGATAATGGGTATCATGTCTAATAAAATAGTGAAGAGAGCATGTCTACATTTGGGTTCAACGTAGAGGTGAACATGACTGAAATGAGCCTGTGTAGTAAAAACAATCTTGGACACACCTAGGGTGTTTATAGTATTTATCTGTGGGTTATGAGGAATGCCATTTCAAATTTCTACATACTTAAATTTTTGGCAATGTATGCTATAGTGAAAAACTGCCAATTATACACATACATGTGTACTTTAGTACTTAAAAGTATCAAATGCCAGTAAATAAATTTAAAGTGAACATTTGTTAATCATGTTAAGATTCTTTTTTGAGATTTTTTTTTTAGATTTTACTTATTTCCATTTTGTGTGTATGAATGTTTTGCTTGCATGTAAATAAATCTGTGCACCATGTGCCTGCAGTATCCACAGAAGCCAGAAAATGGCGTCATCCCTAAGGCTTGAAGTTACAATTATGAGCCGCAATATGGATGCTGGAAATTGAATTTGGGTCATCTAAAAGAGCAGTCAGTGCTCTTCATACATGCACCATCTCTCTAGCCCCTAGTCATGTTAAATTCTTGAGTGGACTCATCAGATACAGTCAAAGTCAGAGGGAAGAATTCTTAACTGAAGAACACTGCTCACGGCAGTAAAGCAGTTAAATCACCACCACTTCCAAATGAGTTGTAGTTTACGCTTTTGTTGGGATGCTGAAAACTTCACTCTCGAAAAGTGCCACATGAAGTCCCAGTGTATGCCTGATATTACATAACTGTATAAAAACATGATTTTTTTGTTCAGTACAAGTAAGGGGGAATGTCTTTAGCCTTGCTAAAGTGCATCTATTATATTGAGACTTGGAGGGCAGCAACTCTGGAAATGGGTTAGGGTCTTACTTCATAGATGGGAAACAAGTTGGTGTAGGAGGTTGGTGTATTTGTGTTGCTTTCACTGGTTGAATAAAGAAACTGCCTTGGCCTTTTGATAGGGCTAAGCACTTAGGTGGGTGGAGTAGACAAAACAGAATGCTGGGAAGAAGGGCAGTGTGGCAGACTCCATGATTCTCCTGCCTGAGAATGACGCTGGTTAGAATCTTTCCCAGTAAGCCACACCCTCATAAGTGAACACAGATTAATAGAAATGGGTTAGATCAAGATGTAAGAGTTGGCCAGTAAGAAATTAGAGCTAATGGTCAGGCAGTAATTTATAAATACAATTTCTGTGTGAGTATTTTGGGGGTTAAGCTAGCTGGGCGGCTGGGAGCTGGGCGGGATGAAAAGCAGGCCTGCTTCTCCATACAACAAGTTGTGTATAGTGGGCCAGTGGAGTCGTGGCCTCAACTATCCAAAAGGAGCTCTTTGGGTGACAGTGAAGCACCCAAAGAAGGTGTGAGTCAGTGCCAACACTCACAGTGCAGTTTCCAGTACAGGGCATGGTCCACTGGCAAGCATGACTGGCCGGCCAGACTAAGCAGATGAGGTGGAGAGGAGGGCTTGGTTTGGTAGGTGAGAATGTCTGTAATGTACTGCTGGGGATGCTCTCTTGACGAAGGCTGAACTTTACAGACTTATTTTCCCCGAGCTTGCTGGGCCCTCATCCCTGCCATCTTGGACTGCCACAGAATAGAATATCACGCAGTGTGATATCTGAGAACAGCCCTTCCTTGGAACAAATATTTGGATTTTCTAGGTTAAGCACCATTTAAAGTGATTTAGCTAAGATACTGAAGAAAATAAAATTTTAAGACATTTTAGGTGAATTTGATACCCTAGATAATCGAGTCTACGATATGCCAGAATTATATTCTAATATACTTATCAGAAACACTAGTCTTAGTTTCCCTTCAGTACCATAATTCTGTAAGTGACATAGTTCTCTATTATACAGCTGAGTCATGCAGCAATTACAGCCCTGACCATGCTACTTAAGTAAATCTCTAGCACAATCACTCTCTATCGTCTAAAGCCTTAGCTTTGTACTGTGTAGCAGACTTCTTGTGCAGAGAACAAAGTGCTTGCAACATACCTGGGGCTGCTGGGGTTGTAGTCCTCGTTCGCACAGCCGGCCTCGCTGAGCCCGGGACAGGAACTGTGCACAGCGTAGACAGACATGCTGGGGTGTTCAATGAGAAGGTTTTCCATAGGACTCGTCTCCACCTTGACAGCGGTTAATCCACCTGCTGTAAAACACGGGGGAGGGGTGATGAACCAGCTCTCCTCCATGGGGCAGGACTCAAACTGGAGGAAGCAGGAATCACTGGTATCAGCCAAACACTCCAGGGATGCAGGTAAACAGGAGAAGACTGACGTGTGCTCTGTTGGAGACTCTTCGCTGATGTCATCATCTTCCTCCTCCTCTTCCTCTGCTGAGAAGCCGCTGCAAGTGTCTAGATTGTGGTCCACATTGCACACGGGAGGGGAGCAGTCAGTGGTGGTGGAGTCAGCCATCCAGTTCACGGCAGAACAAAGGACAACACATTAACAGATGCTCACAAAGGAAGTTTTGTTTGTAACAATTATAAATTAATTTCCAACCCGTCTATGTATAGTTATACTGGCATTAAGGAATGGCTTTAGGATCTTCTATTCTTGCAAATAAACATATTATGAGCCCTGTGGGTTCCTGGTGCTCATATGAGGGTTTCCCATTAAAGTGCCTCTGCTTGGATCAGGCTTTAAGAGTTGCAAAACTGGAAAGTCTGACGTCAGTCGGTTTCACTGACTGGATTGTCTGGCATAAAATGTTTCTTGAAAGTTTCTAGAGCTGTCCTTATTTATTTACTTTTAAACCTTAAAAATTACATCCAGGAGTTCACAATTTCTGTGGATATATGTATACATTCGTGTTTGCGCACAAGACCAGTGTGTGTGTGTGGAGAGAAGCACCCTACTGACTGAGCCACACACATACACCCCCAGCCCCAGGAGTTCCCAGGTTTGAGCCAGGTGTGGTGGGGTGTGCCTATGATCGTAGTGCTTGGGAAATGAAGGCAGGGATCAGGAGCTATCCTTAGCGACATGGCTTGCTAGATGCCATTTGTGCTGTGATGGCCGACTGTTGAGTATGCCTTACCTATGAAGTCAACAAGGATCCATTCGTCATCTTCTTTCTCACTAAATTCTGGCTCTTGGTTGGGAGAAGAAGTGACTTCACCCACAAACATTTTGTTCAGTCTCTGAAACATCATTAAGGCAAGATTGAGACTTTGGCTGGGTATCTTTATAGCTGAGATCTCAGAACTCTCTCTTCAGCGGGCCTGATGGCAGAGACGGGAGATAAAGTGCAGTGTTTCTTCAGCTCAGGCAAAGAACAAGAAGAGTCCTCATCCCTAAAATACAACAGAAAAGGGTTATTTTTACTTGTTGTGAGGTCAGAGGTTGGCTTTGACCCCCAATCCTCTTTATCTTCCACCATGATGCCAAGCCCTCATCTTCTCCACCCAATTATCCTTCTGTTTTGTATTCTTCATATATGGCTTTAAGTAAGCCTCATATTTGAAATCTATAGGAACAGCGTAGTTTAGCTTTTGAAACAATTCCTATTACTCACAGGGAAAATTTACACTGTAGAAATGCAACTTCAAGAGCCAAGGCTGCCAACACTATCTCTATGGGGTGTTCAGTGGAGACATGATCCTCAGGTCCTGGGTTCCCTGTCACTTTACAACTCAGGAAGATGGGGCTGGAGAGACAGATGTGGTTAAGATCATGTGTTCTTGTAGATGACCAGTCCCCAGCACTCACATGGTAGTTCACAACTGATCATTTGAATGAAAATGTTCCCATAGGCTTATAGGGACTGGCATTACTGGGAGCTGTGGCCTTGTTGGTAGAAGTGTATCCTGGGGTGGGGAGTGTCTTTGTTTCAGAAGCTCAAGTTAGGCCTAGTGTAGCTCTCTTTTCCTGATGCCTGTGGATGCGGTGTAGAACTCTTAGCTACCTCTTCATCACCATGTTCACCTGCATGCCACCATGTTTCTCATCATGACAGTGGACTGAACCTCTGAACTGTAAGCCACCACCTCAATTAAATGTTTTCATGTGTAAGAGTTGTGTGGTCAGCCAGGCAGTGATCTCTCTGAATTTGAGGCTAGCCTGGTCTATGGAGTAAGTTCCAGGACAGGCTGCAACCATCTATAACTCTAATTCCAAGGGATCTGACGTCCTCTTCTGACCTCAGAGTGCACTAGGCATGAACACAGTACATATACATACATGCAGGCAAAATACTTACACGTATAAAATAAATCTTTTTTTAAAAAAGAGCGACACAGAAACTTAGGAAGATGAACCAGCAAGATAGCTCTAAGGCTAATATGACGTCAGTTTGATGCCTAGAGCCGACATGGTAGAAGAAAAGCAACTTAAACAAGTTACCCTCCGACCTCCAAACATGTGCCACACACATTTAAAAAAGAAGACTTGGGAATTTATACAATTCTAGCTGATTAAGGCTCCCACCTCAGGTAGCTCTGGTGAGTTCTAAATGAGGAAACCCAGCCAGTTTTATCTAAGCATAGAATTACAGATATAAGTGCCCATTTCTACCTGGCTGGCTGATAGCACAGTAAATGGAAAAGACATCAACAAGAATTTTTAATTTTTTCCTCAAGAATATCTTTTTTTGCTACCTCCTATCCCCTCTGATGCCATTCAGTCCCTTATCCAAACTACCAGCAAGTTCTGTGGACTCTGGCTATACAAAAAGTCTTAATCTACTTGCTCTTCTTGATTGCTTTCATTCTACTTCAGGCCAGCATTCTCCCTAATCTACTCTTGTTAAGTGAGATTATACAGGCAGTATGCATAGCAAGAGTCCTGGTACAAAGTTCTTCAGATATGTCAATTGTTCTACAAATATGTAGTGAGCACCTACTATGTGTAAGGCGTAGTGCTAAGCACAAGGCAACCAGCAGTGAACAAGAACCACACAGGAAGTGAAGCAGCACAATCACTCATGTGGCAAGAAGAATCACCAGACGGTCCTCAGAGCTCCCTGACACAGCTCTCCATAGTGACCTTAGGTGCAGCTGGGGAGACCTGTACTGGACAAGGGGAAGGCAACTCTGAAAGCCTGCAAAGTGAGAGTGTGGCATTGTGCAGATGGCTCAACATCCACACAGAGGGGCAAAGGAACAAGCTAGGGACCAAGCACGACCAGATCCTGCAGGACCTTATAGGGGAGACATGAAGAGAAACCCAGGTACGGAAATACCGTCTGTGACCCCAGCACTTGACAGACCAACAAAAGGATCAGTATTTCTTGGCCAGTTTGGGGTACATAGGCTTGTTTTTTATAAATAAATAAAGGGGGTGTGGTCAGGAAGACCCAGATTTCTGGGTAAGTTGAGTCATAGTGGAACCGTTTGGAGGGCGGCGACACCATACAGAGTACAGGATGTGGGCTACCACTGTCCTGAGTTAGGGGGTCCATGGTGGCACACATGAGATGTTAGGGCAGAATACAAGTTTGGGAGTGTGGTTTCAGCTAGGACTGCAAATTTACGATTACCCAGGTTGGTTTGGAACTCATAGTGATCTTTCTATATCAGCTAGGGTTATATACATGAGACACATGCCCAGCTCACTCTCCAAACCGTCTTCCCTTAAGAGTAGCTGCATTGTGCTGCTAACACACCTGGGCATTCTCTGGGTACAGAAAAGACTGGCACAACTGTTTGGCATACAAGGATAAAACATCTCAAACAAATGACATTAAGACATTCTGCGGTTGTAGTGCATCATCCTCAGCCATTAATTATTAAAAACGGGTAAACAGGAAATGTCACTTGCATAACCAGTTTTTTGAAACCTTCTGGGAAACAGCATGGTCAGACCATGAGGGCTCCATGCTGATAGGAGAATTTAAGAGACCTGTGCACTGTGCAGTCTGCCTGAAACCAGAGGACAAATCGTTAGGGTGTAAAGGGTTTTGAGCATGTACGAAAGAGGGAATAAAGATACGTTTTCAAGCTTCCCCCAATCTCCCCCAGGCTACGAGGGCAGATCCCAGCCCAAGTCCAGCTGTGCTGAGGCTTAGAGAGCGGCACCGCTGCTGAGTATAAGACTCTGGCTGCATGCCCTCACTAGCCAGAGCTGCTGTGGAGTGGGGAGAGCCTCAAAGGGACTTCTTCAGTCACCCTGAGTGAGAGCCTTGTCCTCCACTTGCCTGGGGACAAGGCACTGGGACTCAGGCCATTATCAGTGGCTACAAGCCACAAAATGTCTGGGTCAAGGCTTCTGGGACAGCTAGCTGCAAACTACCCCCTCTGGCTACAGGCAAACCCAGAGAGGCTGGCTGTGCCTGTAATGTCTGGACTCTGTCACAGACAGGATGCTCCTAAAGATCACTGTGAGACTGCATAGCCCATCTGTCTTTGCTTTACAGTCAGAAGTCACATCTCTCTGCAAGGAGAGCAGTGGGGAGGACAGAACATAGTCACTCACTGCTGGTATTTAGATGACACATCTGGAGGCTCTGAGAAGTACTCAGGATGGAGTCCTGGGAGGAGGTGGGGGTGCGAGGCTAGAAACCAGTGCAAGCTCTGGCACTGGGTGTCTGCGACTGTGTGAGGACGGTCTAAGTAGAGGCTTCTGGCCCTACTTTCTGTAGGGTTGCTAGAGAATCAAACCCTGTACACCAAACTCTATCAAGGCTGCCACCAAATGCATCAGATAAACCATTCCATGTATTTTACTTCTGTTAACAATGCTGAATTTTAACTTTTAAAACTGTTCTGTTGGGTTAAAAATATTTTTAAATTTTGGAGGGGTTCCTTCCTTCTTTTTTTGTTTTGATTTTTTTTTTTTCAAGACAAGGTTGCAGTATATAGCTTTGGCTGTCCTGGAATTCATTATGTAGACTAAGCTGGCCTTGAACTCACAGAGATCTGCCTGCCTCTGCCTCCTGAGTGCTGGGATTAAAGGTGTGCGCCATCACTGCCTGGCTTAATAAACTACTCTTAAAGCAAAAATCCTAAATATGGTTTAAGTATTTCCAGTGAGGACTTTGCATCTGATTATGCCACTCATATAAGGCATATACTGGAATGTACTTGAAACATTTCTGTACTGAAAACATTAAATATCTCAATAATTTTACATCAATTACATGTTAGTGTCATGTTTTGATAGCTATGGTTAAATAACTTGTGCTAATAAAATTAATTTAATTTCCTCTTAATTTTAAACATATCTACTAGAAAATTTAAAGCACTCACATAGGACAGTGTTGTAAAAAATTTCCTAGGGGCTAAAGAGTTAGATAGTGTATGCTGTCTCCCAATAGAGAGTGATTCCCATCACTGGCATCAGGTGACTGACAACTCCGGCCCCAGACGGTCCTATGCCCTCTTCTGGCCTCTGTGGGTACTGCATGCATGTTCCCTGTCTCCAGCTGTCTCTGTTGTGTGAGTGAGATTAAAAAAAAAACAAAAAAACAAAACATTACCACCCATCCTCCACTAAGGACCCAGAGACTGTCCCGTCTTAATAGTCACTATTCCTTTTGACCTCAGCACCTACCCAGAGATGTCAGCTCCAGAGGGGAGCAGGTTCTGTGTGGAGACAGAAAAAGCCAGGGCTTCCCACTTTCCCCATATGGCTAGCGACACATTCAGAACCCTGCAGCAGTAGAAACTATAGTAGTTCCCAAGAAAACAAGAATCCCAAGAGGACAGATTGACAAATACAGCTGTGGAATTTAGCAGAGGCCGAGAAGCTGAGGAGGCAGCCTGCTGGCCTGGGGCACTTGGAAACCCGAGTAGGAAAAAGAAATTATCTGGGCGCAAGTATTGATCAAGACAAATTTACTCATTACTGCTTGCTTGCTTGCTTTAAAATACCTCCACCTTCATTACAAAAATGGTATCTTTTTAAAAATAAGATGAACCAAACCACATCAAGAAGAGGGGGTGGATTCTATTCCACCACCTTGTTCAATTATTGTTAGCATCTGGCGCATTTTCTTTTAGTTTTTTTGATAGGAATAACTTAAAAAAATAAGTCATCTTTATTTTGTCTTTCAAGACAGGATTTCTCTGTGTTAACAACCCTGGCTATCCTGCCTCTGCCTCCTGAGTACTGGGATTAAAGATGTGCCACCACCTTCCGGCAAGTAACTATCTTTTCAATTTAACATTTTATTCTGTTTTTCACATCTTATGAGTAGAAAGTTTTATGGGCAGAGAAAGTGACTGAGTTTGATTGTGGGTAAGAATATTCTTTGAGAACCTACAGTGGAGTTGCTAGCCTGTGAGATCATGTGGGCATGCCTTGCTCAGTTTTGAGACACACACTATGGGGAAGAGTGTGGTGTGGGCTTAACTGCTGGTTTTGAAACTTGGTTCTTCTGCTACACTGTGTGGGGATTAGGTGTTTAGACGCCTCTTGCTGCTTCAGGAACAACTTCACAGTAACTGCCTGGTGCCTAGCAGGCAGGCTCACAGGGAAACTAAGCAGGCCAGTTAGCATCTTTAGGTCTGGGGGTCTTTCCTCTAAAGACACATATATAAGCAAGACTACACTAGTTAACTAGAATCACAGTTTGCAGAATGCTTTATGGTATGTGACAGGCAGTTGAGATATTTATTTCTTTGTCCTGTGATGAAGAAACTGAGGCCCAGAAATGAAAATAACTTGCTCAAAAGCAAGAGAGCCGGTATCTAAGGGCAGCAGGAGGGTGGGAT